CCGTTTGGACCTGGATCTGTACCAGAAGCAGCTTTTACCCTGGGGCTAACCTCCATGCCAGGGTCCCCCTCTGAAAACAAGAGTACAGCCCCAGAAGCTCAAACACATGCAATATAAGAGGGTCTAAACTGAAAGATTTATGTTACTGCATAGAATTCTGAAGAGTTAAATAACTCACATTCTGTCAGTGATTAACGGAGACCGTCGTACCTTTAGCTTGAGATGAGCCCGGTTTGCTCTGACTGACCAGAGCTGTGGCCGTGCTGGCCTGTGACTGGACTTCGGGTGGAGGGGTGGGAGTGTGAGACGGCACCGGGTTCGAGGTCTCACGATTGGCCTCTGCCTCCTGCCCTTTGACCTCTACGTCAGTGACAATCTCAAGGGTACCAAACTCCGTCATGCGGAACTGAAACAAGGAGAGAAATAAGCAGATATACCAATCGGGACTTTCACTCATGCTCCAGATACTTTTATCTCCTGTTCAGATCCTGGAAAAACCAGGATCTGAACTTTAAGGACCGACACCTAAAAGTTCAGATCTGTTCAGATCCTGGGAAAACCAGGATCTCAAAGCAAAATTATTTCTCTATATTTAAACTATATTTAAACTAAAGTATTCACAACCCTTCTTGTTAAAACTACAAACTGCTAGGAATTTTATTTTTGATATTATATGATAAACATACACACAGCAGTGAAGAATAGAACAGTAACACACATATTTAGACCCCTTTCATTCTAGATGCCCTAAATTGGAACCAGTGCAACCAGCCACCTCAAGGCACCAACTGATTAAAAAGCACTGATGACCTGTGTGTAAATCATTGCCAGTATAAATCCAGCTCTTCTTTTTTTGAAATGTTTGTTAGAAAACATTAGCAAATAAACAGCATTCTGAAGACAAAAACAGCTCACAGGTCAGGGAAATATTGAGACGTTTAAAGCAGGGTTAATTTTTTAAAACAATGTCTTAATCTTTGAACATCCAAAGAAAAGACGGCAATAGACTTGGAACTGGGATGGAGGTTGACTTTCCAACAGGACAACAACTTTCACACATACAGCCAAAACCACAGAGTATTACTTTAAAGCATATGTTGTGTTAGGAAGACCCAATCAAAGTCCAGACATAAATGCAGCAGAGAATCTGTGGTAAGATTTATAAATGCAGATTCACTGTTGTTCTCCATCCAGTCTGACCTTGTGCAGTTTTGCAAAGAACAATGAGGAAAGCTTTTAGGTTTTACATGCACAAAGCTGGCAGGAAAATACTCCAAAAAGGCTCGCAGTCGTTACTACAGCAAGGGCATGATAGGTTTTAGTGCTGAATAGCATGCCACACTTTACAGATTTCTCCATTCACTCACAATTATCCACTATTTTGTGTCGGTCTATGAAAATAGATACCAATACAATCCTTTAACCTTAGTGGTTACAAAATCTGAAACAGAGGAGCGATGACTTTTGAACGGCACTATGTTTGATCAAAAGCAAGAACAAAGAAAAAGGTTTACCCTGATGTCACTGCCTGGAAGTGTAGCAATACCATCCTTCCAGTCCAGAGCTCCCATCATGTCAAACTCAGCTCCCTGGGAGGGTCCATCACTGGGTGGAGTGTCAGTCATTCCCACTCCTCTGATATGACCTACCTGAAAAGCCATAACATCCACAGAAGAGCAAACATTGAATCCTATTAACTATGAGTGGTCTGTACATTTATTTCAAATATTTATGTTTTTTGTTTTTATTTGCAGTGAGGCGGTCGGCCTGATGTTTTTGTCTTCTGAAATACTAAAACGCAGATTCAACCTGCGCTTGTAAACAGCGATACCCAACATCACCACTAGATGGCGAGTGTGTGCAGGCTTGCAATGGTACACCATGCACTTCTGTTTCAGACAAAACACTCAATAATAATATTGTTTTGCCGGTCAACTGACGGGCAAATACACAAACAAACGACCTCATTAGGACAAACATTTGTTAAGACCATTGACAAACAAGGGAAAATGCGTCTCAAGTTTGAGTTAATCACAAAAGTTTGTCTTTTCCTCGTTTTAACGGTATCTCTCAAGAACCAGAGTTTGTCTGGTTGCAAGCAAGCGAAATGGCAATTTGTTCATCGATTTCACAAAGAACACCATTTTCTGCACCGACTGTCCAAACTTAAAAGCGTTTATGGACGTATGTTATTACGATTAAGCGTTTTAGTCCTGACGCATGTTCAACACTGAATTAATGTCACATTTTCTGTTTGCAACGCCGTCCTAACCATATGCAAAGTAAACAACAGTGAGGGTTAATGTGTCCTGTTTGAGTTTAACGTTGCAACTGATGCATCAGTTTTATACTGGCTATAAATAAAGTGTATGTAAGAGCGCCCATGATTAGCATTCGCCCTATACAAAATGGCGGAGCATAGGAAGAGGCCACCAACATGTTTAAACTATGTTAATTACTCAAGTTGCCCATGTAAACTAATCATGCGAGGTCCCTTCGCGTCAAACAAAAGCAAAGGCTGGCTATGTAATTTCCTGACCGAGTGTTTTCATTGAGTCTGCCCGTTTTTCTTCACTTTCTCCTTGTCACGGAATGTCAGCCCAGGTTGCTACGGTAGCTAGCTGAAGCTAACCGTCAGCTAGCGCCGGTGTTGTGCCGTAGAAAGCACCCCTGCCGTCAAAACAGACCCCAGTTTTAAGACGCACATTTGCACCAATAAATCAGGAGGAACTGACTGGGAAATGTTTTCTCGTCTTGCCGCCACTACATTTATTTGATTGCATTGGTGAAAATAAATGCCCTAAAATACGGTTCTAAACGGTGGATGCGCTTGACGGCTGGGACGCTTTTTTCGGCACAACACCGCTCCGTAGAAATGAACGGACGACTGCTAAAACAGCTAGCCGTAGCATTGTGACTGGATGCAGGCAGATAAGGACAATCTGTAATAAATAAGTTTCCCGGTTAATAACTATCTAAAAATGCCGATGTTTCGAGGAATATCACAAAAGCATAAACAATAAAACTATGCTGCTGTTATGAGATTTGACAATGTTGCCTGATTAATTTCTTCAATAGAAACTTAAAAAAACGATTTATTCACGCCGTTTTAAATCAAAGTGGAAATAACGCGAACAAACACCAACTCGTCAATCTTAGATCGGGTTTAAAAATTTTTGCTCACGTTAACAGAGATTAAAAAGAAAAGAATTAACGGTCGTCTTGTTTAGAAAAAAAATTGTGGAACTCACCTCGTTTCTGTTTTAACTCTTATTTAGAGCTGGATAAGACCGGTGCGCATGCGCGCAAGATGCGGCTGCCTGACAAGTTTGGGTCTCGGGGAAAAGTTCAGCTCGCTATCGGGAGGCCTGCGTTTGCTCGCAGCACGCCCAAAACTCGGTTCGGGACTGATTTAAGGGATACTAGAAGCCTCAGTGGGGCTCGAACTTCCCCGTTGCCCTCGAACAGGCGTTTAAAGTGTCCCCCTCTCTCCTCCTCCCACAAGTAGGAGTGTGTGTATCAATGGAGCGCAGACAGGGACTGCAGCGGCTCCATTGGAAACCGTTGGAGAGCGTTCGGTTCCTGTTCGGCGAAAACGTCCGTTTGCATCTCTTGCTTTCAACACTCCACCTCCCGTGAAAACGGCACATTTATACGAGTGCGGTCCCCGACATACGGAAACACGTATCGCCCCAGCGTGCTACACACACACACATACACACACCAGTTTGACGTGAAGTGGTGTTTCTAACCTTAACAGACTGAATACATTGTAACACAAGAATCCAGACTGGCTTTAACCGAACTGTGTTGCTGGCAGCAGTTTGCGTCACAACGAAACTGAGCCACGGTGTAAAAAAAACAAACAAACAAACAACAACAACAAAATCGAGTTTAACCACGCAAATTGTACCAATTAATGCGCAATACGTTTCGTGGTTGCAATATGTGTTTATTTGTGGTTTAATGCACCGCGTGTCGTCTTATTGTGAGGCACGACGCTGGAGACGTGGATTTAAAACTGTTGGTGCTTCCGACGTGCTTGAAACTGGATGGATTAACACAAGAACTCCTCCACGTCGTACGCGAATATTAAATTAGAGGGGTTTATGGTCACGTGTTGCCCAATTCGCCATGCCATAGCGACGTGACGTTCCTCCCTGCTTGCCCGTTTCGTAACCACGTTCTGAAACCATTTATTTATTTATTTATTTATTTATTTATTTATTTATTTATTTATTTATTTTATCTCTGTCATTCCGCACCTTTGCGGTGTTAGAATGCGCACCTATTTCATCCCTGAAGACATTAAGTAATACAATCTATGATAATATTTTAAACATTTTTTTATAATATATTCCAACAGATGGCCCAGAATTGAGCAGTAAGGCTGGGGCGTAAGTCTTAGTTTGTAGACTCTGATTGAGATCAGCTAGATAAATTGTTCTATAATCCCATACAAAGTTATCAATAAATCCGATTTAGTGTCTTTTTCTTTTTTTATAACTCGTGCATTTCTTGAAAATAAATAAACTTCGCCAACTTCAAAGTGGATGCTTTACTGACTAAAAACAAATTACGAAATAGGACAGTGTGACGTGTCAACAAGTGGGAGCAAACTGAGGAGGAAGCGAATTCACCGGGAGGACGGTTCAGCGGACGGATTTTAATCTGAAAACGTCGGGCACGAAACGACCCCACAAAAGTTACGAAGCGGCGTTACCAAATATGGCGGCAGGGGAGTAATGGACAGCAGTAGAAATGTTCTCTCCCATCACCTCCACCCATGGTTGGACAATATTACTCATATTTTATTGATTTATTTATTTAATAATCTATTCATCTGCTTAGCTTGCTTTCAATGCAGAGAAAGATCTGGCCTCAAAACTGCTTCTTTAGCCGAAGACGTGGTGTACGAAATGACCACACGTGCAAAAGTGCCGAAATGGCGATGAAACGAGTTCATCTTCCTGGACGTTAAAAACGGCGGCGGACGCTTCTCCGTGTTTTGTGGCCGTTTGGTCGCCAGATGGCGCAAGCGACCCGGGTTCCTCGGGATTAGCGGCAGATTGCGGCTTGCATCACGTTTGCGTTCCGCCGTCAAGTGACTTCAAAGCTGCAAACCATGAAATGGCATTCAAAGGCAACGCGGTGGATTCGAAGGTAAGCGGTCATAGGTTGCGACGTGCCGCTGTTTGCGCTAAAGCGATCCGCTGAAAGCGTCTCCGTGGCGAATGACGCGTTGTAAAGCCCGGCTCATCGCGGCGCGGACGCCGCACGCGTGACTGTGTCACGTTCAGATTCCCTCATGCATGATAAAAGCTCTCTGCTCGCCGATATAAAACGCGGATCCCGCAGTGACGTGTTTAACACTGCGCGTGTTCAGCCTTCAGGTTTTGCTGACCGGTGGCGCATCCTGTCTTTCTGTCTCCGTCACCCCCACAGACCGTGCTGCTCAACCTGCTGCTGTGCCTGCTCATATTTTACTCCCTTTTCTACATGATCGGGAGCGTGTGCTTCGGCGCTTTCAGGTGAGTGGAGATTTCCCACGCATGCGCACAAGCGCAAGCGCAGGGAGGACAATGCCCAGCGACGCGGTTGCCGACGCGCAGAGCGACCCCCGATCTTGCAGGGGGAACGTTCTTCAAACGCGAACCGCAGCGAGATCATAAAATCAATGCTCGTTTTTTTATTTTTTTAAAGGCGTATCCTATATCTTGCTGAAAGTGGTTTAGTTAAAATAAATTAAACCGTGTGGGAAGTCTTTAGATGCCTTATTTGACTCATAAATGTTTTATGTTCATCTGACATTTCCATATGAATTACCTGATTGTCAAGAATCGTAAAACGTCTTCTACTGCATGAATCTTTTATTCCAGGTTTTGGATAATCTCACACTGACAATGTGAAGGGAAAATAGTTTTCAACGTGGGGGATTAAATACATCCTTAAGAAATGACTGTTTATAACACAACAACCATATGAAAACATTATCAGTAACCATGTGCTTGATACTTTCTAGCATACATCTTTGATGCAGGACACCATTTATCGTCATTGTGTAACATTTCACAAGGTTGAAACAGAGTTTCTTTAACTATTCCTTTTTAATTAGATCACTGATCCAGTTAAAAAATAGCCAAATACAGTGCATTTTTTAGTTTGATGTTCAACTCCACCTGACTTTTGTTTATATCTTGTATTTTTCCAAAATATTCACAATGCAATGAAATCTTAAGAATTTCCCGAGGGTGTTTGGAACATGAAGTATTTGATCAACCTTTCTATTCTTCTTTTCTCAAACAGACTAACCTGGAGTTTTTGCTCCAGGCTTATTGACAAAATAAATTAAAGCGAACTCCACATGTTTATGTCTCTGATGGTGAGACGGAAAAGAGCATCTTTAGGCGCCACTCGCAAACAGATAGCTGGAACGCAAGCTGCGTTTAATGATTATTATGGAGACGTAGTTTTCCCTGAATGTAAACTTTGGATATTTTGTAACTCCCTTAACGTCGAGCGTTAGCTCCTCATCCAGCTTAGTGACCACTTCCTAAAAGAAATATGTTTTTGTATTATGTCATATTTATACCCCAAGGACACAGAAAGACATGCATTATTGAACACAAGACCCTACAGTCTTATAGAATTCAAATATATGCTTTATTTTCATTTAACGTAAAAGGAATGTTATGTATCCACATTTTTGCCATAGATTGCCCTATTATTTACTTCTGAGTAAATAATAATATTATTATTCTTTGGAATCTGAGGTCATGCTACTGCAAGAAAAGATGAATGCTCCTTTTTAGACATGTTTATCCGTAGTGCCACCAATAAGTGAGGCTAACATTTCGCCTCCAAGGAACCAGAACATTAAAGGGAGGTTTTTGTACTGTTTTTCAGGCTTTCTGCATAAGTTAGAGTTTTACGCCTTTAATAGAGGCTGTCCCTCTCATTCATTTGCAAACTCCGCCTAAATATCACCATTAATTAAATATGGATTGTTTCCATTTAATCCTCCACTTGATCTCCTTCCACCCAAAGCAAAATACGCTTTTATGGTCAAGTAAAAGAAATAGGAGAAACTGGAGCCAAAGTCAAAAGAGAAACTTTAAAAGACTTTAATGATATCCACTTCAAAGGTTAATAGGAAAGTCTGAGTAATAAGAAATCATTGCACAATTCTACTGAGATCCATTTGCTTTCTAGGGTTACCTACTAATAAAAATGTGAGTTTTTCACTCTAACAACTGATTTTTTTCTTCTGTAGGCTGGATCAGTTTGACGGGCTGATTCCATTCGATTTTAAAACCGAACCTGCCGAGTCTAACTCCAAGTACCTGGGTGAGCATCTCGCATGCAAACAGTGTGATCAGCAGCACTGATCGTCAGCTTTCTCCAGGTAATATATTTCATCGCTCTGCTTGTGTCCTTCAGTCAACCTCCTCTCCTTGGAGCTGACCTACTTTTGTAGCGGCATACTATTTGCTGCAGTGGTGAAGAGGCGGGTTTGGGACTACGCCCTCACTGTCACACTTCTTCATGTCATGATCACCAGCCTGGGTGAGCAGAACAGCACGTCTATATTTGTGCACAGCAAAATGACCAAATCTGCAGCGTACCTGCATGTTTTGCTTCTACGTTGCAGTGATGTTGGAGTTTCCTACAGTTTGGCAGTGGTGGCTGGCTTTAGGTAAGCAAACATCAATGGCAGCCCGCCTTTTTGTCATCAACAGTGAGTTTATTCATGATTCATGCTCTGTGTTGCTTTTTCCACAGTTAGCGGCTTGTTTTTGATGATTTGCAATGGTCAGCTGATTGCCTACTTCACATGTCAGAGTGAGCAGAGCTACGCCACCTTCAGCTACTACTGACAAGCTGGAAAGGCAAAAAATTAATTTAAATTATTTTGTTAAAAGGTTAAACTTGTGTTCATATACATTCACTACACACAGAGTGATCTACTTATTAGTGTTAATTTTGATGATTATGTTTTACAGTTAATAAAAGCCCCAAATTCAGTCTCTTAGAAAATTCAAATAATGCATAAAACCACTGAAAATAATTGTTAAAATGTAAAAGACTGCTAGCAGACTCTCCAGTTTGGGGTAAGTCAACAAAGATCTTCGCTAGAGAAGCTGACTCCCGACAAACTGTCGTGTCCAAGCATGTCAATGGAAAGTTTAGTGGAAAGAAAATAGTAATAGCTGCAAAAGGTGTGATTACAGTGAAGTCAAGCGTCTAGTGGGAGATTTACAAGATTTGGACAGTAGTTGCATTCAGAGCTTCATGAACTTCCACAGACAGAATATGGGCTGCAACTGTCCTGTTCTCATGTTAAGTCACCCCCAAACCAGAAACAACAGAAACCTCTGAACTGGGCCAAAGAGAAAACGCACTGGTTACTGACATTAAAGCTGCAGTTGGTAACTTTTATTTTAAAAAAATGTGTTTTTTTTTTTACATATTTGTTGAAACTATCACCCTGTTGTGACTGTATAATATGTGTCTGATCAGCTATGAAAAGATCAAGCTCCTCAGGCTGCTTCCATTGGTCCTACTGCTACCTGCAGAAATTCTCAGCTCAGTCGGAAACAACCAATCAGAACGAAGAGGAGGTGCTTAGCACTTTCAGTCAGGCTTGTGTATGCGCTACTCACACGTTCCTCCACTGCCGTGAATGCTGGGGCTAGTTAGCTTAGCCACAGATGATGGATAAACAGTTTCCTGAAACAGTAAGTTGTTTCTCCGCCATCAGCACATTAAGTAGTGCGCATAAAAGAGGGATTGACATCACTAAGACCCTCCTCTGGGCTCTGATTGGCTGCGACTTTTCGATAGTCGCAGCTCAGGACCACTGGGAGGAGGCGGAGGAGCTTGATTGATAATCTGAAATTCACAGCTCAGTCAAAAACAACCAATCAGACCCCAGAGGAGGGTCTTAGCGATGTCAATCACTCTTATGTAGGCACTGCTCAATGTGCTAATGGTGGCGAAACAACTTACTGTTTCAGGAAACTGTTTATTCGTCATCTGTGGCTAAGCTAACTAGGCCAACCATTCACAGCAGTGGAGGAACGTGTGAGCAGCACATACACAAGCTTAACTGAAAGTGCTAAGCCCGTGCTCTCGTCTCTGATTGGTTGTTTCTGATTGGAGCAGAGCATTTGTGCAGATGGCAGTAAGACCACAGTGAGAAGGCAGAAGAGCTCAATTTTTTCACAAGATTATTTGTCTCATACCGTCACAACATAGAAACAGTTTTAACAAATATGTAAAAAAAAAAAAAAAAACATTAAAAAAAAATAAAAGTTATTAACTGCAGCTTTAAGGTTTACCAAGGCTTTAAACAGTTACATTTTCAAAACTGCTAAAGCTTTCTGTCATACTATTCTCATTGTTTATGGTTCTTTCAGTGAAACACCAGAGAAAGTAGTGGAGTGATGGGACTTCTCTCTGGCTTTAGACGTTACAGAAGAACAGAGTGCTCCCCTCCCCTACATGTTGCTACATACTACCAGTTAGGGGCCTAATAAAGGCTGATTTGTTTTCCTTCACTGACAAGAAATGCGAAATCTGCCTATTTGGAAATGATTCTGCTGTGATAAACACAGACAATCATGGTGGAGGCTCCTTTTGCTTGACTTATTTCATGGAGCCGACCAGTCTCTGCTTTTGTGTTAATAGTTTCCTTTTGACAGCAAGCCGTTGATTCTCTGTGACAGTGGTGCCTAAGTCCAGTCCTGGAGATCTTCCATCCTGAAACTTTTAGATTCCTCTCTTCTCCAGCACACATGAATCAAATGCCTTGTTACCAGGCACCTGTAGAGCTAAAAGATACTGACAAGCCATTCGATTCAAGTGTGTTGAGCAGAAGGGATGTACAAGTTATGTACTTTTTCAAAACGTAAATAATTTCTGGAGCTGCTAAAATATTGTAGTGATTCTTATCATTTTAATAATGTTGGTTGTATAATTTAAGAAAAAGATGCTATTATAACAGTTTGTGTTTCTTGCAACCAAGCAGACTGTCTTCCTTGTAGGGAGGGAAAGCTTTTCTGAGGCAGCTAACTTGCAGTGTGCAGAAACATGTAGGGGAGGGGAGCACTGTGTTGTTTCTTTATAACCAGAGACAAGTCCAGTCACTGCAGTTGTTTCTCTTGGATCTTAATAAAAGGACTTAAACACAGAGAAAAGTTTGACAGAAAATGTTCGCAGTTCTGACACTGTAACTGTGAAAAAGCTTTGGAACAGCTTGGCACCGGTAACTGGGCCATGTCTGGTCCGGTTCTCGTTTTCTTTGCTCAGCTAACGGATGTTTCTGACATTGTTTCTGGTTTAGGAGTATCTTAACACAATGTATCTCATAATGAAGCGTTGACTCCAGCCAGAAGTCCGCACCATGTGAATCTCCCCCAAACTCTTGAACAAGCTGTTCTTCATGCTTTTTTCTTCAGCCAAACTTTCCATTAATATACCTGGATACAGCACTATGACAGTAGTCGGCTTCCTTAACAACAATCTTTTGTGGAGGCTATCAGCTCAGCGGTCTTCTTCATGACCGACTGTGAGTGCCCAAACCCAGTCGTTAAGGGTCACCATTCTGCAGCTTTCAGACGCATCTCTTCTCCAACACACCTGAATCAAATGAGTCGCCTCTGCAGAGCTGACTGGCTGCTGATGAGGGAATTCAGCTTTTTGATTCAGGCATGATGGAGCAGGGATGCATGGATTGTAACCCTAAACGACTGGACCAGGGCTCCCCTGGTGTGGAGCATGACATTACATTCCTATACTGAAAATAAATGGTCTTATGTATTTTTCTGAGAAACAGAATTTGGGGTTTTAAATATCCGTAAGCCATTAACATCAAAATTAACAGATACATATTTAAAATGGGTCACTCTGTGTGATAAATGAAGTAATATTTTCTGATTTAATTCAACTTTTTGATATTCATAAACTGTTTTTGTTTTGTTTGTCACAACTCAAAGGGCAGTGTGTGTTTTTGCTAAGAATGGCATTCAGCTGTTTGTATACAAGTTTTATGGATCTCATAACGTTTTCCTGTTACGTTTGCAATGCGCTCTGCTTCTGTCTTTAAGTATGCATTAAAAAACCCAGTAAAGATAAGATTTAACTAGAGAATGTATTTGTAAGTGGGACCTGTGCAATAAAGAATATAAACATTTTTATATAAACCAGCTCCTGGCTCTGCTATTTAAACACATTATATGAAAGACTTGAAATAGTGACCCGCCTCTCCAGTATAAATAACTCGTACTGAGAAATCAGTGAAAATCTAAAAATATGTCACAGTTTATTTAAAAGCAACAAATGAAAGTGCTGCAAATCACCATATCAGGGTTTTCATATTCCAAGTACAAAATAAATAGACATTACATTAAAAAAAGTATATATAAAACAATAAATATTTAAGCGATCCCACTCCAGGAGGACTTGGTGGCGTTATGAGTCTGGCTCTGCTGCCACATACTTAGCCGGGTTCATGAAGGAGAATCCAGAAAAGGTTGCGCTGGAAGCAGCTGCCTCCATCCGGTCGTTGACGGAGGCAGGGACGGGCTGCAGTGTGAACGCAGGAGCGATGTAGCACACATCACAAGGACTGGTCTAGAAAATGACAAGACAATCAGAACCAACCGGGAACTTGTTGGAATTACGTTCCTGACCAGTTTATGATTTATCCGTACCACTTTAGGGATGAATGGAGGCCGGACATTTCTGGCTACGAGGTTGTCCCAGTTGATGGAAGCAAAGAACTGATGCTCCTTCAGCTCCTCCTGAGAAAACAGCAGAAATAAAATCCGGTGGTCACGAGCCTCTTCATTCATTCTGCATGCTCTGTCTGTTCTGTACACACTTACAATATCAAGTCTCTGGCCCAAGCGCTTGGAGATGTTTCTCTCTAACAACCCCATCAACAGAGAGGAGGCGCCTTCGGACAAGCCGTTGGGCAGCCGCAGGGGAGAGTAGAGAATATTTTCCAACATCTCCAATTTGCTGCAGCTGTAAAATGGGGGCTGGGAAGCAGAACAGGAGAAACAATGAATTACAGATGCAGAAAACAGTAAGACGACGCTTAATCCAGTGAGACTCACCAGTCCAGAGAGCATCTCAAACAGCACTGCTCCCAGTCCCCACCAGTCCACAGCCAGGCTGTATGGCTGGCCCAGCAGAACCTCTGGAGCCAGGTACTCTGGGGTCCCACAGAAGGTGTGTGTAATCCCACCGACAGCCACGCCTTCCTTACAAAGCCCGAAGTCTGTGAGCATCACGTGGCCTTCGCTGTCCAGCAGGATGTTTTCTGGCTTCAGGTCTCTGCACAGACACACAAGGAGCAGAAAAAAAGCATTCAGTAGGCCTGTCGCAATAAATCAGCTCATCGCTTGATAAAATATAAAGAGCTCAATAATTTACATTTGCATAATTTATTGTTTTTTCTTTTTCTACCAAAAACAGGATGATAAATGTTTTCAGTCCGTTTTTTTTTCTTTTCCGAAGGAAAGTTTTGTTGACTGAAACTTTATAATTCATTTCAAGATATTTTTGACATTTAAAATATCTTTCAGTTCCAGTGTTAAATGTTCATAAAGATACTTCATTGAGTTTTCAGAATGTGTTCTTCAATTATTATGCCGTTTTTAATACATTACTTGAAAATGGTCTAAAAACAATCTTATTTATTGCAATAACTTCAGGGACAATTTATCATCCAGCAACATTTGTTAATGTGACAGGCCTATTGTCTAGTAAATGAAATATCTCTAAGTCAATCGTCTTCATTCTAGGCCCTAGATTTCTCATCAGACCTTCAATTACCTCGAGATAACATTAATTAGTTTCATCATTTTAATTTTTGTTCATTCTATGATGCTTTCACTTCCATATTTTATAATTTTTGAGAAACACTAGTTCCAATGGAGAACATTTTACACCTTGACAAAACTTGTAAAGCTCCTTATGTAGGGCAGTGAAAGCCTCTCAGAGAAAGTAAAGTAGACCAACCTGTCTCTGAAAAATGCTCTTCTGACTAAACCAGTTGGTTTCCATTGTGATATAATTATGTGTCACTTATTAATGACACTTATTGTGTCACTTAAATCATTTGCGGTGAACAAAACAACGTAATTAATGTTTGGCTTAAAATCAGAAATTTCAGTAGTTTTCCTCTTATTACGTTTAATACATGAAGGAAACTTGTTGTAAAAGCGTCACAAGCAAAAAGTAAAAAAAAAACAAAAAAACAAAAAAAACACCAACCATAGAGAATAAAGTTGTATTTTAACTTACCTAAATGTTTGAGCTAATAATTTGTTATGTTGCATAATTTATAGAAGGATACTATTTTTTCTACAAGCTCTTTAATTGAACTTTAGCCTGACTTGTAGAACCGCAG